CCTTGTCCTGGTGGGTACAACGGCCCTGTCCTGGTGGGCACACACGTTCTGGAGAGCACGTGCACGCATGTGCCTGTGTCCTTTGTGGACTGAGTTTGGCTGGCACAGCCTAATCCTCAGCCCTAAAAGACCCTTCACATATGTAAAGTATCAAGGGGAATTTCCCACTATGGCATAATTTTGTAGTGGTACAGCAGTAGAGTGTCTCAATGGGTGCCCCCAAGAAGAAAATATTAATATTCTCTGATGCAGGCTGGCTTCTGCTGCAGACCCCATGTACCTTGTGAAGTCCACAGGGGCTCTCAGTGCACTCGACAGTCATTATGCCACATCCACATGCAGAGATAATCCCTCCTTAGTTGGACATTTTTCTAATTTAGTGAGAAATCATTACAGTGAATGCTTCCAGTGTCATTTTCAAGGACACTGGGGTTGGGAAAATTAAAGTCATTTTGCTGTGGGAAGAGCATGGGCACCTCTGCTAAAGCGAATGTCATAACATGCCAATTTTAAACTTTCTATCTAGAGCCATTTTGATGGCAGGTTTTCAAAAGTTATTTAAGCATTTCAGCATCTAAAATGCTAAAATGCCCAGTCTCTCTCTGTTGCAGTAAGAACCACATTTGCAAATATATAAAAACAAAACAAACAAGCAAAATACCCCACAAGCACTAATATTTGCCAAAATATACCTTTCTACCATATTTCTGCTCAGAGTAAATTGGATTATTTCTGCCATAAGGTACTGAAACAAGATTCTTGGGCTGCTACGGAGGCTTTACTGCTTGTGGATACGCTGGCAATGGAGAGAGAGCAGAGGGAGCAGCCACCATTCAGGCCCCCCCTTTCCTTTAGCATGGGGGTACCCCCATGCCATCCCCTGGTATTTGCAGCCGTTTTCCCTTCATCAATGCAGACAACAACGTAGGAGTGCAAAATGCTGAGTGTCTGGGGAAAGAAGGTCTTGGACTCAAGAACCAATGCAGCAGTGGATACCTATGTACTTACAGCTGATGAGATAGAAGCGTTGAAACATCAGTTTGCATTATTTGGCTTTTAGATTTATGTGACTTTAGACTTCACTTTACTCCACAGAGAGACTGTGTGAGATGGGTTTACAGTTGAAAGTGTATTTTCAGTCTGCAAATATCCACAGAACTAATATTATTAACCCAGGAATTTCATGATTCAGTTTATCTGTAGTTAACATATGGTCTTAACTCCCAACTGGTCCCATGTTTCTGAATTGGTATTTAGAGTAAACTGATGGTCCCTTCTCTGTAGCAGCATTATAGCAGGTATGGCCAGGCTTTTCTTTTACTTGTGTTTATTCGGAATTAATCTTACCCATGAATGTCCTAGGATAATAAGCTTTATTTTTATCCTGCAGGACACTAGCATAGGCTATGACATGCAATTGTGTAATGCCGTATTATTTTTTCTGTGAATATTATTGCTTTAGAATATATGTGGTTGTTAATAAAATATCCTAAGTAAAATGTTGTTGTATGATATTTCTAACGATTTTAAGATACAGATATCAGCACCAGCTATCTCTTAATTATATTAATTTTGAAAGCATTTTTGCTATGAACACAAAGTACCCTTAATTATGCAAGATTAGGAAATCTCCTAGGATACTGACACTGATGATGACAGCAAATGGCTGCAACTGTTGCTTAATGTGCCTGTAGCTAAATTAGGACTGGCTGAATCATGCTGGACAGCCAACTACTTCATAAACGTTCTACTATATACTCTACTTACTATACAGTACCTTCTCTCCATATATTCTAGGAGGTTCTGAAGTGCTTTCATTTATATCAAATCAAAACGAAAGGAAGCAGCAATGATCATTTAAAGGTTAAAAAAAAAAATCCCCTTCATTAATAAGTGCAAATGAACTAACTCCTTGCTTAATGCTTTATGGGATGCTGGTGTGGCTCCAGAAATGGTATCCCTATGGGGAGCTAGGTGGAGATGTCCTATCTGGAAGACTTCAAGAAGTTCCACTGGAGTTTTATTGGTAGCTTGTCCTTTACTGCAGTCATTGCATTTGGCATAAATGTTTGTGAGTGTATGGGTGTTGAGTTAAATTCAAATCAGGAAGTGAAACTTCCTAAAATCACTGAGTTAGCCCAAATTTCAACATAGTATTTGTTATGTGACTGAAAGTTTTCTAGGTTTTGTTTTCATGTTAATTCCTAGAAATAGTGACTATGTATTTATCGAAGACACTCAAGTGCAATGAAGACATGGGGCCTAGCTCCATATAAATTACATTTCAATCCCAAGAGTTATGAGATGAAATCACCTGAATTGCTGTATTTAAGTAAGCAGACCTATCCTAATATTTCCAGAATCAACCCCCGACATTGACTTAAATGTAGATGACAAATAGTGGCTTCTATTTCACATTAAGAGGGATGCCCACTGATACCTGATCTGAAGGAGCTATTTCAGG